AGGCAAATTTCAATCGATCACGGACCTGAGCCAAAAGGCTGTCACGTTTGCTATCAGCCAATGCAAGTCTGCAGGCTCAAATGTTTCATGGAGAAAAGAGCTGGTTACGAGCGCTGCCTGCCGAGATTTCTGCAAGTTTAAGTTTTTGGGATCCATTTTGGGGCCTGTCCCCCGCCCCCCAAAGCCAAAGAATCACCCTTGGGGATGAGCAGGGTGTCTGTGGGTCTTCGAGCCAGCCTGACCGAGCTTCCGACTCCAGCGAGCGCAGGAGCTTCGCGTGTATTTCTATGGCGACCAAATCACCCAGATAGAGGCCATGCGGGCGAAACGGGTGAAGACCGACCGCCGGTCTTCCACTTGAGGTTCCATGTGGAGAGGAGTTTCCTGCTTTGTTCACATAGTCGTTCCGATTCCGCCAGGGGTGCCAATTTGGGAATGGTTGGATGGTCTCCTGTCCCTTCCACCAAGCTGCCGCTTGGACATGCCGGTTCCGGCGTCCGATTGGCGATTGGGAGGCTTTCTGCGCCAAGCGCAGACAAAAGCAGGGCGACAGCTTTAACGGGGTGGACCATGCACTTGGGTCCAAAACATTGGTGCCACGCACAGATGTGGTGAGGTGTTAGTTTTGTTTGGTTTCCAAAGACATCCTGTAAGTTTGGTGCCCTCAAAAATACACCACTACAGAGGTCGCAGGCAGTGCTTCTCCGTTTCTCCATTTGAGAGGCGATAGAAACCCAAGGGCCCAAGTTGGGCGTTTAGGTGGAGTACTAAGGCCTTCAACTTTACAAATCACCATCTTGGTAGAACCTACAGCGAGGTCTTGGATGAGGAATTTAATGCCTGCACTCCCTCACGTCCACCAAAGGCTTGGATTACTCCTGGGCGCTTGGATGTCATTCGGCTCGGCAGGTCGAGGCATTGGTGTGGCATGACGCCGCCTACGCCATTGGGCAGGGGAGCTCCAGGTTTTGGTTGACATTGGGAATTTTGGTGGTTTACATGGGTGTTGTTGGGAAACAGTTTTTTTTCCTCATTTTTGCTTATTGTGGTTTAGTGACTTAGTGGGAAATCCCCACTTAACTGCCAATATGTTTCAATCTCCAATATGTTTCAATCTTTGCTGCCCTTCCAACGTCAACCAACTGGTGACAGGGTTTCAGGCTCAGATAAGTATGGGTCAAATAAAGCCAACAGGATATGGACTGCAGGTTTGAGTCTTTGGCTCCATTTACCGAGCAATCCCCATTTTAGGTACGCATGTCTGACCAACAGACATATTCTTCAAACTGCTCAAGGTGAATCTGGGAGTTTTGCGGGGATCGTATCTTTTGCAGACGCCCACTGCACGTGGATTACGAGGCAGACCTTCAGGGTGTCTCAAACATGTACACACGCACACCACGCCACGCCACGCCACGCCATCGCCACACCACACCACACCACACACCACACCACACCACACCACAACACAACACAACACAACACAACACAACACAACACAACACAACAAATCACAACACAACAAAACAAAACACAACACAACACAACACAACAAATCACAACACAACAAAACAAAACACAACACAACACAACAGAACGCAACACACACACACACACACAACACACCGCACCACAACACAACACAACGCAACACACACGCGGCTTTTCCACGAGCTTTGTCGCAAGAATCAAGAGCCGCGTCCTGAACGAGGGTTCGCCCTTTCTTGGTCAAACGGCCCACTAAAATAGACAACAACGGGTAGTGCACCTACCCCAAAATGGTACCATTGGTTTTGACCCACAGCCAAACGAGCGCGATCAAGTTTTGCCCCTGGAGAATGCCATCACTGTTGGTTCTTCCAGCGGACCCCCCACTGGGCAAAGTGCTGAAACTGCCAAGGGCCTCCCGCAAGATTGCACATGGTTGTGAAATCCGGGGAAAAGTTTAAGGCATCTCTGTGATTCTTTTAGCATTCCGTTCAATATGACAAAGCCGTCCAATTTTGTATCACAGAAAAGCTTGTTTCTCCCACAACCATGAGAGTGCAGGGCTCGAGAACCGAACACTTGTTCATCACACTGGCCTTGATAGGTTTTCGCTTTTCGCTTCAAAAGAAACAACTTGAAGCTGTGTCGAAGCGAAGCCAAGGTCGCTGCTCTTTATTTTCTTCTACCTTTGGGGTTACCTGAGGCTTCGAATCGTCGAGCTCCGAATTTCGAAGACGCGTCGAACAATTCCCGATCCCCTGAGAAAAATTTGGATGGTCCCAGCCTGACGGGAAGCTTTACCCTTTGTGTTTCTGGTATGCTCCATGGCTTAAGCAGACCTGGTGAATGAAACTTGCAGGATTGTTGCCAGGCTAATCGTGGAGGAACTCCTCGCTTTACAAGCCAACTCCAGATAGGGAGTGTCGAATGCCGCGATTTGTATACCAGATGCTGGCGGATATACATGGTTGCCTGGAAAACCTTCGATACCCGCATAATGTTCATATACAAACTTTAGAGCCTCCGGCTCAGTCCGCCGACATTGTCCTCTCCCTTTTCTCCTTCTGCCTCTCTCCCTTGTCTCCCTTGTGTGTTCTGTCGTCCTCTCTCCCTCCCTCTGCTCCCCATCCTCCCCATCCTCCCCATCCCCCCAAGCCTCTCCATGCCCAGTCTCCCTCTCTGGTATGTATGTATGCATATATATATATGTGTATGTCTGTCTGTCTGTCTGTCTGTCTGTCTGTCTGTCTGTCTGTCTGTCTGTCTGTCTGTCTGTCTGTCTGTCTGTCTGTCTGTCTGTCTGTCTGTCTGTCTGTCTGTCTGTCTGTCTGTCTGTCTGTCTGTCTGTCTGTCTGTCTGTCTGTCTGTCTGTCTGTCTGTCTGTCTGTCTGTCTGTCTGTCTGTCTGTCTGTCTGTCTGTCTGTCTGTCTGTCTGTCTGTCTGTCTGTCTGTCTGTCTGTCTGTCTGTCTGTCTGTCTGTCTGTCTGTCTGTCTGTCTGTCTGTCTGTCTGTCTGTCTGTCTGTCTGTCTGTATGTATGTATGTATGTATGTATGTATGTATGTATGTATGTATGTATATGCATGTAATGTAATGTAATGTAATGTAATGTAATGTAACGTAACCGTAATGTAAGCAATGCAATATGCATGCATGCATGTATGTATGTATGTATGTATGTATGTATGTATGTATGTATGTATGTATGTATGTATGTATGTATGTATGTATGTATGTATGTATGTATGTATGTATGTATGTATGTATGTATGTATGTATGTATGTATGTATGTATGTATGTATGTATGTATGTATGTATGTATGTATGTATGTATGTATGTATGTATGTATGTAATGTATGTATGTATGTATGTATGTATGTATGTATGTATGTATGTATGTATGTATGTATGTATGTATGTATGTATGTATGTATGTATGTATGTATGTATGTAATGTATGTATGTATGTATGTATGTATGTATGTATGTATGTATGTATGTATGTATGTAATGTATGTATGTATGTATGTATGTATGTATGTATGTATGTATGTATGTATGTATGTATGTATGTATGTATGTAATGTATGTATGTATGTATGTATGTATGTATGTATGTATGTATGTATGTATGTATGTATGTATGTATGTATGTATGTATGTATGTATGTATGTATGTATGTATGTATGTATGTATGTATGTATGTATGTATGTATGTATGTATGTATGTATGTATGTATGTATGTATGTAATGTATGTATGTATGTATGTATGTATGTATGTATGTATGTATGTATGTATGTATGTATGTATGTATGTATGTATGTATGTATGTATGTATGTATGTATGTATGTATGTATGTATGTATGTATGTATGTATGTATGTATGTATGTATGTATGTATGTATGTATGTATGTATGTATGTATGTATGTAATGTATGTATGTATGTATGTATGTATGTATGTATGTATGTATGTATGTATGTATGTATGTATGTATGTATGTATGTATGTATGTATGTATGTATGTATGTATGTATGTATGTATGTATGTATGTATGTAATGTATGTATGTATGTATGTATGTATGTATGTATGTATGTATGTATGTATGTATGTATGTATGTATGTATGTATGTATGTATGTATGTATGTATGTATGTATGTATGTATGTATGTATGGATGCATGGATGTATGTATGGATGTATGTATGTATGTATGTATGTATGTATGTATGTATGTATGTATGTATGTATGTATGTATGTATGTATGTATGTATGTCAATGTATGTATGTATGTATGTCAATGTATGTATGTATGTATGTATGTATGTATGTATGTATGTATGTATGTATGTATGTTATGTATGTTATGTATGTAATGTATGTATGTTTGTATGTATGTATGTATGTATGTAATGTATGTAATGTATGTATGTATGTATGTATGTATGTATGTATGTATGTATGAATGTATGTATGTATGTATGTATGTATGTATGTATGTATGTATGTATGTATGTATGTATGTATGTATGTATGTATGTATGTATGTATGTATGTATGTATGTATGTATGTATGTATGTATGTATGTATGTATGTATGTATGTATGTAATGTATGAATGAATGTATGTATGTATGTAATGTAATGTAATGTAATGTAATGTAATGTAATGTAATGTAATGTAATGTAATGTAATGTAATGTAAGTAATGTAATGTAAGTAATGTATGTATGTATGTATGTATGTAATGTATGTATGTATGTATGTATGTATGTATGTATGTATGTATGTATGTATGTATGTAATGTATGTTTGTATGTATGTATGTATGTATGTATGTATGTATGTATGTATGTATGTATGTATGTATGTAATGTATGTATGTATGTATGTATGTATGTATGTATGTATGTATGTATGTATGTATGTATGTATGTATGTATGTATGTATGTATGTATGTATGTATGTATGTATGTAATGTATGTAATGTATGTAATGTA